GCAATGACTTGGGGGAGTCAGGGGAATGGAGGAGCTGAGGGAGAAGGAAGGAGCCTGGGAGTGAACCTGGAGGATTGTTGACTGTGGGTGAGAGAAATATGGAACAGGATTTTTTTGTGGAGGAGGAGAGAGGCTGGGAGGGATTTTTAGGGAGCCTCCCCAATGCAGACCTTAGCTTACCCCTAGCCTCTCCCATTCAGTCAGCCACATCTGCCACTGTCCCCCATGTGCCTTGTACCCCCTCCCCATTGTCACCTTATGTCCCTCCATCCCCAATCAGACACCCACTCCCCTATCCCCATGTGTCTCTGTGTCCCCACTCAGCCACCCCCTTCTCCCATGTGGCCCTATACCCCTGTCCCATGTGGCTCTGTGCCTCCACTCCCATGCAGCCCCTGTTCCAATTGTCCTTCCTCAATAGCCCTTAGAATCCTTGTCTATGACCTGCCCCCAACCCCACGCGCCTGTCTCTCCGCTATATCCCTTGTCTCCTGACCTGGGGCTGCTCCCACCCAGGAGCAGCTGCTCAATTCTGGTGGGCAAAAGGCAGAACCGCAGCAACTTTCTGGCAGAAGTTACTTTCTGCAGTAAAAAATAAAAATGTGTGCAGGCCATTAATTATGCATGTGCATATGGCGCAGAATTCCCCCAGAGAAGCTCTCCCATTGGAGTTGCTCACTCTTTCATTGATTGGGGAGATGCTCTCCCTCTGATGCTGCCCCCCTCCCTTCCCTTCTCTCTGGGCTGGGGATGGGGATACCCCACTCGATGACACTTCCTACTCTCTGGTCTTAAGTGGCTCTTCCCCAGTGCTGCACCTTCCTCTCTGTTCCCTGGCTTGGCAGTGGAGGCTGCATTAGGGGAGGGAGTTTCCTTCTGTGGGGTTTATAGCTGGTACCTGCCTCCTCTGCTCCTTTCTCACTAAAACCTTCTTGACACCTGCCTGGGTGTGTCTCTGATTCTGGGAATGGAGCAGCCCCAGCAGGGGGAGCTGAAGCCCCTGGAAGGAAATGAGAAACCAATAAAGTGGCTCCTATTAAACAGGCTGAAGAACTGTAGTGACATCTCTACTCATACTCAGGTGCCCAGGACAGAGGCAGCTCCCTGGGATCCAGGGCTGTCCCAGCCAGTACGGGGCTGCTGGGGAATATGAGAAATGGTTCCAGCCTCCCGCAGGGCTGATCTCTGCAACTAACGCTCTGATTCTCTCTCCCCGCAGCGAATGTGACTCTGAATCCAGACACGGCTCATCCCCAGCTCGTCCTGTCTGAGGATCGGAAAAGTGTGAACGGTGGAGACACGCGGCAGCGACTGCCCAACAACCCTGGGAGATTTGACACTGTGTACTATGTGCTGGGCTGTGAGGGATTCACCTCGGGGAGACATTGCTGGGAGGTGCAGGTGGGGGATGGGCGATTCTGGGCCGTGGGGGTGGCAAGAGAGTCTGTGAAGAGGAAGGGATGGATCAGCCGTAGCCCTGAGGATGGGATCTGGGCTGTGGGGCTGTGGAAGGGTCAGTTCCAGGCCCTCACCTCCCCTGAGACCCGTCTGCCCTGGCGACGGGTCCCAAAGAGGATCCGGGTTTGTCTGGACTGTGACCAGGGGCAGGTGACATTTATCACTGCTGGTGACAAGGCCCCGATCTTCACTTTCCCGCCAGGCTCCATCCCTGGGGAGAGAATCCTACCCTGGCTCTGGGTGGGGGACAAAGACACCTGGCTCATACTGTATCCCTGAGGGGGATTTTCCCACCCATTCAAGAATACAAGAGTCACTGAAGAAGATGACATTTTGATTACGAGGCACGGGCTAATCCCATAAGAGACCTCAAACAACAATTCAAAGTTGAATTCTTTAACCAGGCGCTAGATTGTGCAATACAGTCAGTTGAAAAACATTTCATGCAGCTCAAGGAACACAGCAGTATATTTGGGATGTTGTATGATATTCCAAAACTACTCACTATACCTGAAGAAGACCTACACCAGCAATGCAGGGCACTAGAGACAGTGTTCACACATGATGACATGTGTGTTATTGATGCAAATGATTTAGGTGATGAACTGAAAGCCCTTTCAAGATACATTTCAGCAGGATCAACTCCAAAGGCTGTTCTGGAATAAATGTGCACAAATAAGATGACCACCCTCTTTCCAAATGCTTTTGTTGCTCTGCGCACACTTCTAACACTTCCTGTAGCAGTCGCTTGTGGAGAACTAATTGCCCTATAGCAGCTCTAGAAATCAAACAGTGTCGTGCTCTCTTATTTGTCAGTGTTTGATTTTGC